TAATTTCGGAGCGGCAAAAGAGAAAGACCGTTCGCCAGTACGAACATGCAGCACTCTGGGGACAGATAACCTGAGAGAATTTGACTGTCTTGTGGAACGTGAAGATAATTGTTGTGAGATTGATGAAGAAAGATAGTATGGGTCGTAGCCATATATATGCATTTATGAGTGAGAAGAATAACATTAACACAATGTTGCAGTAGCGTCTGCCAAGATAGTCAGAAATTACGTTAATTACCTATATGGTTCTACAGAACACCAAACCGCAACGTTGTTATATATAACGTCAAAATAAAGTAAATTTGTTAGCTGGATAAAGTATAAATTATCAACATATTATTAGCAGGAAAGACAATACTAATAATTTATGGTTATCAAAGGAAGATCAAACAAAAGTTACTTAGATAAGGTAATTTGGTTGTTCCTCTTGTATCTTAAGTCTGCATTTATTTATTGTAGTTTTTCATCGAGTTATATACACATATTTATTTATATGTGTCGGTTTTCAAAGAGTCCTAAGAAAATGAAGTACGAGTTAAAATGGTGTTTAATATACCTTCGTTCATGCATGATTTATAGAAGTTTTTAGCTTTGACCACTGCTTCAATATCGGTGTCCAGAATTTCCTTCTCAATTATTCCTGCAAATCGAATTAAATTGAATTTATTACGAGTAATATCATCATCATTATTACTACCATCATCATCGTCGTCGTCAAGAATAACAACAATAACATAATTTTGATGATAAATCGCCATCACTCTTAAAACTAATGTAATATCAACATAACAATAAAAAAAAAAAAAACATAAATTAGTATTATTAAATATATCTTGGGGGCCACTATCTTGGTCACTAGCCCCGAGCACCCATTCGTCTTTGGCAGGGCAAATGTGAAAACTGCTCCTTTGTTCGCGTTACCTAGGTAGAGGTCTGGGATTGCGCCCGGGCAGTGACGGATGGTTGACCCTTGAAGACATCGCGTTTACCACCACACATTGTAATTTCAATTTTTTTTTTTATGTGATAATATAATAAAATAGATATTAATAATTAATTTAGAAATGTTAAGCGCATAGTTTTAGATATGCGCTATATAAATATACAATAATAATAACAATAATATCTGAAAATGAAAAAATCGATACTTAGTTCTCTACCAACTATCTCCTTCTAGAGTACCACACAATTATAATCAAACATAAGTCCAAAGACGCCCGCTATAGCGTACTGAATGGTGTTGCTGAATGCGCGTGTCTTTATTAAACCAATTGAAGACTAATGTATTTATTGTTTTCTCTAACACTGACCTTATTTTTCTGTTAAAGTTATAACTTATTAACCTACCTTTACACATAATATTCAACCTGTCGGAGAGTTGTGTGAAAATGAATAATCCAGCTTCTTCGTCTGGTATAACAGACTTCTCTTTCCAGCCGCCGCAAGCATACTCGTAGAAGTTAACGCAAGGGTCAACTGTTGGATCCATTTTAGAAATAAGACTAGCGGCTAGACATTGAAAACAAAAACATTATTATAATGTTAGTGGATGTAACTATTTGTAATAACAACAACTATTGCAATAGGAAACGTACTTCCTTGTGATCTGGATCAAGTACCGTACGTCATCCATGACATAAACTAGCGAGATGTTCACACTGCGCGAATAACGTAACACTAGCGCAAGTATGTACTTGAAAGGCGTAATCAATTTTGTAATCGCACTTTTTATTCTCTGTTTATATTGTATAGGCCTGTTGTCTTGGTTGAAAATCATTGATGATTTGTAACTTTACAGAATCGGATTCATAGCACGACCACGTGAGATTGTCAATTTAAAGAGATCGATGCATAGCACGACCACGTGAGATTGTGGCACTTAAAGAGTTCGATGCATAGCATGAACACGTACGATTATAACTTAAGGAGTCCGATGTAGCATGATCACGTAAGATTGACACTTTAAAGAGTCTGATGCATAGCATGAACAAGTGAGATTGTCACATTAAAAGAGTTGGACGCATAGCATGAACACGTAAGATTGTCATTGCTATTTAAGGAATCGAATGATAGCATGAAGACAGGATAGCCTGGACTTAAATGGGTAGGCTATAAAATAAATCCCAACTACTGGCGACTCCGGAAGAGCACAGGCGATTTAGGCCTACTTCATGAAAACAATTACCGTATTTATTAGAATAAACGCTCCACTTTGAATAAACGCACCCTCGAAAAAACGCCCCATTTAGAGCCTCATTTGGAATAAAGTATAGCCTCCCTCGAATAAACGCTCAGAAACTTTTATTTCTTTCTCATTAGCCCCACCTCTGACTGACGGTAAACAAATCTAACGGAAGCAACGTCATTCTCAGCACATTCTATTAATTATGTTCTACCCCAGTAGAATTACATATTTTCTAACCTGGTTGGAATCATGCAATAGTACTTATAATCATGCAATAGTACTTATGATCATGCAATAGTACTTATGATCATGCAATAACATATTTTGACAGTAGCCTAATTATTTGTTGTAGTTCCACATTATAGTGATATCAAGGACGTTTATGTGGGTATTCCATTTTACACCAAAAGAATTAACGCCTCCCTCGAATAAACTTCCTCTCAAAAACCCTTCTCAACTCAACAATAAACGCCCCGGAGTCTTTAACCGAATAAATACAGTATAACTTTATCATCCCACTCACCCACTTCAACGCAGTCTGGTGTCAGGCACACTGATGGTTTGTCGTTCTTTGATTGGCCAAATATATGTGAACCGCTTTCATTGTTTTCTCTCTCTAAATTGAATAAAACAATAAGATCAATCAAAACAGATAAATAAGAAAAAACCCGTTATACTTTTCTAGGTATGTAGGCTGTCATAGTTTCTAAAGCCGAACACTCACTGCGCCCGACGGTTTATAATTTCGGTATAAGGGCACTTACTGCGTCGTGCGGCGGTAGTACGACCGTCAGACGACGAATCGAACTCTGTTGCCAGTGAGCGCTAGACGACGCGACTCCGTCTGCTGATTGTCGGTAGCAGTATGAATGGATCGTCATTTAAAACGATCAGTTGCACGCGTAATCGCGTTGCGTGCTCCATAAAATCGCGTCGGCTCACGACAGTGAGTGCACGCCTTTACACGTAAATATTAAAAGTGCCTTTGACCTGTTTTCACTCAGATTTTTCTCACCAAAAATTGCCAGCAGTGTCCTTCCTAATTTGATCGTGTCAATATTGAAAATGGTTAACTAAAGTAACTCTCATATATGACAAATTCATTTTTTTTAAGCTTTCGATGCAGTGAATGTATCACTAATTCACAAGTTGCACGCCCCGAAAGCAGAAAATAAAATAAAATGTTTCTGTCAGTGAACTTATCATTAATTTCGCCTTGTATACAGAGATTCCATGGTTTATATATACAATTTCCATTCCATGTATACACCTGAACGTCCTGTCAGTTATCGTTACAGAAAGAATAAGATAGAGGACAGGCTCGATGGCTCTTATATCGAGTACATAAATCAATTAAAACAGACAGGAAGATATAGTACAACAATTATGTATACGGAAACAAGGAAGTTAGTTTCACAGGAGGTTGATTGCTTCCCGGTAGACCTGGATATAGTGTACTACCAAATCACCACCTGAAGGACATCAATTGACTAACAATATTTCGTTCTAAGAACGTTATAATAACGTTACAGTTTAGTGATAAAAACGTTATTTTGTAGAACTATATGTACGTACTTATAACCTAATTTCACAACCTCACAACGTTTGAACGTTCTTACAACGTTGTGTAAACGTTTTTGTGACATATATAACCACAACGTTCGCGTCTTCTTCTAGACTTTCGAGGGCTATCCTTGGTGTTTACACCAATAAATCCAATCCAATCCAACCCTAACAATATTGCTACCATTACCAGGAATCATCATTATAATTATATAATCCTAGAGCCTTTACTCAATATTATCTCATACTATATTTTAAAGAGTTGAAATTAATATTCTATCATTAGATTGAATCTGTTTCATTAAAGAAGACGTTTCCAACTGTCTTCATTGGATCAACCATAAACTATCAGATCTTATGTAAAGGTATTCCGTAAAATTTACTATGAAACAAAAGTTAGCCTAATCAGGGGGGGGGGCGTCGGGGAAGACAATAAATTTTGTCGGGGAACAAACAAATAAAAATAATATTTACATGTAATATTCGTTTAGCCACCATATTGTTTGTGTTAACTTTTCATCCAACAACAATAACAACAACAACAATAATAACAACAACAATAACAATAACAATAATAATAATATTAATAATAATAATAATAATAATAATAATAATAATAATTCAATAAGACTAATTAAAAATAATTTGCGTTCTGTTATGACAAATGCTTATTTAGATAGCCTCATGATGGTTGGAATACATCGTGATAGATGGAGCAACCTCGACCATGAAAGCGTGGTTGACAGATTTCATGCAAAATTTCCAAAATATAGAATTTCACTTAATTAGATGGTTAAATTGCATACCGGTATTCTTTGTTTTGTTTCATTCAAAATGTTTTGGTTTTTGCATTTGCATTTTGGAAAATGTTTTGGTTCCAACATTAGAAAGCATAGCCTACATGAAGTCATATTATAGTAACTCGATGCCTATAAAATAAGTAATATTTGATCGAGTCTCACCGAGTCTCACCCAAGTGAGACTCGATTCGC